CAGGGTTTTTCGCACGAGGACGAGTTGGGTTTCTAGGTCCTTCTTGGCTATGGGCAGGCTGGCCTTCGATATTGGTCATTCCTGGCGCATTCTGCGGTGTTAGTCGTCGCTCCAGGTCTTGCATACCTCTGTTATTTTCTTCTCGGATAGCCCTGAAATCTTGTTGCCGTTGCAAGTTTGTGCGGGTTTCCAACGCTGCTATTCGTTCCATAATTGCGTTTAATGCGTTGTTGGCCAGCCGAGTATCCGGATCGGCCGATTGAGCGATGCGTGCAGCCAGATAGCCAGGATGCTGGGGAGGGTTACTCCTTAATGGAGCTACATTTGCTGCATTTCCCCTATTTCGGGGTGCTAGTGTGGAAGCGGTGTCCGAAACATCATCTTCGACCTGGACGTGATCGTAATCCACGTTGTTTCCAATCTGAGTATGAGGCTGATTTATCTCCTCAATGACTGGATCCAACAGCTGATTTTGATTTTGGGGTGCCTGCTGGTTACTGCTCCTTGTCTGGATTGCCATCCTTTGTCAGATTTGGTGGGAACTTCAGATTCAAATTCAGAAAAGAATTCCCACCGACGGCGCCAATGTTCTGTCCTTGGGACAGAGATGTCTAGCCCAGTTAGGCTAGTACGGTGGTATCGGATCTGATGTCCTCTCCAAGGTATCTATGAGAGAGATACCCTTGAGTCGGTAAGATCACTGTGCACAGAATACAATGATGGCGTTAGCCAATGGGGTGTGTGTGTGCATAGTGACAGCATAACAATCAGAGAGAGAATGTGTGTACCTTTTAGGGTTTGCCCTGGTATTTATAGAGGTTACCTGTAGATAGCTTGGATAGCTATGTTGACACATCAAGTGGGTAGCTATGCTGACACATCAAGTGGATAGCTGTGCTGACTCATCAGCTTTTGGATTGCCCCTTGTTGAGCTTGTTACTTAATGGGCCCATCGTATGGGTCCATAACAAAATCAAAACTGATCTTAATCCCCATCACAATCAGGCTCTGATACCAAATGTAGGAGCAATTGCATCTGCGGAAGCGTATGAGACCATTGTGATTTGGATGTATAAGGATCATCATGGTTTTATCAATTACCTCTTTGATGGCGCATATATGAGATGATGATGTTCCACACGCTTAAGTCCTTTGCGTCACAGCACGAACTCACGAACTGTTGTGGTAGACCTTCCAAACTATCTCTCGAGGAGGAAGGGGAAGTGTGTGGGCACCTATCAGATTCTGAGCTTGCCCCTTTCTCACAAAAGACCTTGGAGGCTGATGACTTAAGTGGTACTATTTATATGGGTTTTAAGAAACCCTAACTCATTGGGCTCTAGATTCTTTTGACTCTTCTCATACTAATAACCCATTTGTGCTTTAGTAAAAGAGCAAACCCAACAATCTCCCACTTGTTCTTTTGGATACAAACTTGAGTCGTAAAACCCAAGATCATGTCATAAAGGAAATTTGCTAAAGTTAATTATATTTGCTTTAACCCACTAAACCCAACACATGGCTGCCCTTGCAGCCATATAAAGTTAATTATATTTGCTTTAACCAACTTTTGTGCAGGATGTTACGTGAGCCAGTCATATGTCATAAAGGACACAAGTTCGAATAATGGAAAGAAGTTTAACGTGTTCCTTTATGCTTATTGAGATGTGTATCACACCCTTTATGGGGTTTTGATTTTAGGTGCAATGACACAAGGAGCTGAACCAAAGAATGAGTGAAAATAATATTTCTGGGTTGTTTTAATTGTTGGATGATATATCTAGATCTTGTGAATGTATTAGGGCTATTTTGGTGGCTACCTTAGTCCTATTTAATTTGCTTTATTGGGTTGTGAACATGTATATTTGGTCCTGTTTGCAATATCCAATATTAAAGTGTGGTGGATGATGTATTTTAGTGCTACCATATGTAAACAACTGTGTAACAAATTGTAGTTGCACAATTTATGTAAATTGGGCAACGTTAATGCTTTAGAATTTTCTTATAGGATGACTAGGTGAGGAAAATGGAAGTGTATCACTTGTAGAAAATCTTCTAAATGTAATTCTGATGTGGCTAAAACATGTATGATTTCTTAATCTAAATTGTAGGTAGAATTCATTAAAACAATAAAATCTTATAATGCCTTGAGTTTAGAGGGACAACCTCAATTAATAGCTAAACTTCAACCACTTACTCGAGTAACGAAGTGTCTTACTGAAGTTAGTGCCGAATAGGGGTGTTATCGGGCCGAGCTGAGCTATGGTCTTAAAAGGCTAAGCTTATGTTTAAATGTGTCGGCTTTACCAAGTCTGTTACCTGTTATGAATATAATTATCAGCATGTGGCCTGCCTTATTTGCAAAAAAATAAAAAGCCTGATTTAGCCTGTTAGCTTCTTTAAAAAAAATAAGACAACAAAAATTTATCCAAACAGAATATACAATCAAGAACACTAGTAATTCCATAAATATTCATAAATTCAATGTCTATCTAAATAGCATAATATAGAATAAAATCATTCAAAAAGTCTGTTTAACAAATAAAATAGGGGTGAAATTAGGGGTGTAGATGGGTTAGGCTGGCCTGGCCTACAACCCGGCCTACGTTGAGCCTGACCTAGCCCGGCCTACGTTAAAAAGTAGAGTAGGCTTAGGCTAATAAGAAAATCTTTTTAACAAGTAGGTCATAGGCCAATTTTATCAAGTCTGACCTAAAGCCTTGTAGGCTGACCTATTTACTTTTTTAAAATAAAATAAAATAATATATTTATTTTAGGTGGCAATCAGCACTAGTGCATGCATGAATGAAACTTTGTTCAATATATTTTGGGTTAGTTATTTTTTACTATTGTAAAATTTTTAATGCTCACTAGTGAAATTATATCTCGTGTAAAAAAATGCAGCAATTTATGAATACATTAATGACTTGTAATGTCAAGTGAATATTTTAAAAATTGTTAAAAATATTTTTAAATTTTTTTTAAAATATTTAAATATATCACTAAGGATGCCTACAAGGCCTGTAGACCATATAAAGCTCTCTAATTTTTTAAAATAGGCCAGATTTGACTTATAAATAAAGCCTTTAGTAGGGCAATAGACCAGATAGGCTGAATATTTTTTTACGTAGGCTTAGACCAGGAAAGCAAAAGCCCGGTCCAGCCTGACCCATTTACACCCCTAGGTGAAATGGATTGAGGAGAGAGAGAGAGCTATTACAAATAATATAAAAAATATAAATATAAATAAAAATAAAAATTAATATACTTAGAGAGCCTGAGGCTCCAAGACCAAAGTTTTGAATTGGAGCGTGAGGCTTTTTTACTAAACGAGCTTTATATAAGCCTAAGCCTGGTTTCAACAACCAATATTAGACATGTAAGCTCAGACCTTCATGAGTCGAGCCAAAGGCCCCTAAAATGCCCCTGACTCGTTATCACCCCTAGTGTCGGCAAAGATGCAAATAAAATATTTTATATGTTTTAACGAGCCAACCCCTAAAATTTTAACCCCATTCAAGATATCTAAGTTAGATAACCCCTCACATGCTTTTAAGCTATAGTAACGTTCGAAATTAACGTCTTGGACAAAAATAACTAAAATAATTGTTGTAAAGATGTGATTCCAAACAAAATTGTTGTAAAATAAAATATGTATCCCACTTCAAAGGTAACTGGGAATTAACTTAGGATTCCTTTTTCTGCAATTACTACACATAAGTTATTCTGTAAAATAAACGATGTAGGTAACTGGGAATTAACTTAGGGTGTGTTTGGTAGAAGAGAACTTTTTTTGTATCCGGGAATCACAATTACTGGGAATTCATGTAGAAATTGAGTTTACCTGGAATCTTATGAAAAAGCTGTTTGGTTCGTTAAAATATTACCAGAAAATTTGAGTAAGTATTACTGATTCTATGTTTAGTTTAAAATGAAATATTACTGGGAATATAACGTTATATTACAAAAATAAACCCTACATATTTTTAGTTTCAAAATTGATACACATATTGTTACATCCACACATGGACAATCTATATGGTCCTTATAAACAATGACTATCTGATAATATAATAAAGCATAAGTCATAATTGATCAATGCCTTTTACAATGACTATCGACTATGGTTATAGGGTCAGTATATATTTATCTCAATTACTGAAGCATATTTCGCCGTCCTCACCACACTCGAAGCCACTTCAAGAAATAAGGAAACCACTATAATTATATTTTAAAAATTGCCTTATATTTTGACAATTACGAAACCCTTGAACTATGAAACCATTTGTATTTTTTTGTTCAGGTTTATGGTATGCCTAACAAATTATAGGACATGGATTTTTGTCCTCCTCAATGGGTACTCATTGGGAGTTGAATTAACCACTGACAATGTCATTGCTGAGTATTTTTTTGACAGCTTAGTTCATCTCGAGGCCTCAAATCTAAAAGGAGCATATCTCACATGCAATGCAACTCTAACTAGAAATTGATATATTCTTAGTAATTGCTATGCAACCGTATATAACTAATTATTACAAAACAGGTTTAGCAAACATCATTGATAAAGAGAGATAACTTATCTGCACTAACTGCTTAATTTCCGTTATTTTTTAAGAAATGAATTTACTGTCTATTCTAATTTTTTTCGGTTTATTATATAATTCTATCACAATTAAATAACCCTAATTAAAAATACTTTCCGTTGCCGGGACTTGAACCTGGGTCTTTCGGGTGAGAGCCGAATATCCTGACCAACTAGACTACAACGGAACGTTTACTCGTGTCAAAGGACAAAATAATAAGATAATACAAACGTAGTTTTACATAACAAATAAAAAACCTTCCCTCCCGCCTGTATTTCAATCTGGCCTAGACTACCTCACAAGTTCAATTCAAAAGCATTCAATCAAATCAACGGTCTCTCTGAAAGAAGTGAAAGCGAAACGAAACGAAACCCTAATCGAATCGAATAGTTAGGTTGGGAGAGAGAGAGTGAGTGAGAATGAGGGAGGGAGAGATCGAGAAGCTTCGAGGAGTTGTGAGGGACTGCGTGAGCAAGCACCTTTACTCCTCCGCCATCTTCTTCGCCGACAAAGTCGCCGCCTTCACCAACGACCCCGCCGACATCTACATGCAAGCCCAGGCTCTCTTCCTCGGCCGCCACTACCGCCGCGCCTTCCACCTCCTCAACGCCTCCAAGATCGTCCTCCGCGACCTCCGCTTCCGCTACCTCGCCGCCAAGTGCCTCGTAACTCTCACTCCTTCCAAAATCCCCAATCTTTTATTTATTTAAACAAATTGACTTCAAGTTGTACTATTACTATTTAATAATTATGCATATTCTTTTATTAAGAAGCTATGTTATTGTTGATTATTATTATTTTGTTTTTTTGGTTTTTACTGAATTTTTTGTAAAAAAATAAAAAAGGAGGAATTGAAGGAGTGGGATCAATGCCTATCAATGCTGGGTGAAGCTAAAGTTGATGATAATGGAAATGTTTCTGACACTAAGGACTCTAATGTCATGTACTTGGATAAAGACAGTGAAGATCGTGAAATCAATGTGAGCTCCTTTTCTGGGTATTTTTTACCTTGTCAATTGTAATGTCTGGATTTTTTTTTTTTTTTTAATTTTTAATTGCACTTGCATTTAAAGGATCTTATGAACACTTGGGAGTCATTCTTGAGCAAGCCTTATCCCAATTGGTGGGGAGGGCATTTCAGTCATTCCTGAGCTGAACATAAGTTTTTGTTTTTCTTTGAATATCTTTTTTGTTATAAATGTGGAATTTTGGGGTTTGGGAATGTCCTTGTTTCTGATTTTTTTTTTTGTTTATTTGAATACATTTTGTTATGCTATAACAGATATCTTCTGCAATATGCTTCTTAAGGGGAAAAGCATATGAAGCTCTAGAAAACCGTGCCCAGGCTCGATTGTGGTGAGTGTATTTGGGGCATTTTGACTCTCTTCTTTTTCTAACTTATGTAGTAGAAAAATGATACTTTTTTAATTGATTTTCTACATTAAGTATAAGAAGGTGTTATAATTTCTTGCTGCGTGTGTGAATAGTTACATAAGTATGATGTGCCCTAATTTGATAAATAAGCTCAATTTCTTTGCTATATTTGCTTTTGTTAAGGTACAAAGCTGCTATAAAAGCAGATCCTTTATGCTATGAGGTATGTATTGATATTCTCCTTACTATCTTTTCTATGTTCGTTAATAGGATCTTGTAATCCTGTCATCTGTCTTGTGCGACTTGCTCACTTGGTTGGGACTAGGGATGGCAAAAATGAGCCAACCCGTCGGGTTGGCTCGTAACCCGCACAAAACGAGCCGGGTTGGGTTGGCAAAAATGAGCTGCCAGCTCGATTTAGCCCGACCCGAGCCAACCCGAGCTCAAACGAGCGAGCTCGCGGGTTGAACGAGCGAGCTCGCGGGTTGAACGAGCCAGCTCGCGGGTTACTCTTTTTTTTTTTTTTTTTTTTTTTAATAAAATACAATGGACTTTACTGATGGATTCTCCACTGATGGACTTTACTATATTGGTCGCTTTTGCAGGTCCTTTTTTTTTCATGATTGGCTTTTGATTCTAGATGTTTATCGTTGAAATATATAATGGATTTCTTTTATTTTTTATTTTTTGGCTTTATATACGTTTTATGGTTATCGTGAGTTAGAGTAATTCAGAAAATCATGATAAATGACTCCTGTGATTCGTGGAGTGGTTTGTGTTTCATTTAATGTTTTTGGATTTTGTAAACTACTCTACTTGTAGTTGGACTGCAAAATACAATAATTTTATACAGGAGAACAAACCACAAAAATTAAAGTTTTTGAGCAAACCCGCGAGACAACCAGCGAGCCAATATTTTGAGCTAACCAACCCGCGAGCCAACCCACTAGCATCATTTCGAGCTAACTCGCGAGCTTTTTTTGAGCCAACCCGTGAGCTTTTTTACGAGCCAACCCGCGAGCTGATTATCGAGCCAACCCGCGAGCCAACCCTAACCCGGCTCGGGTCGAGCCGGGTTGGATTTTCTGGCTCATTTTTTTTTGAGCCAACCCGACCCGACTCATTTTTTTCGGGCTGAATGCGGGTTGGGCCGGGTCGAGCCGGGTTGGCCCGTTTTGCCAACCCTAGTTGGGACATTTGCTTGCAATTTCCCGGATGGGGATTCAATTTCTCCCTCATCCTCCCTGGCCCACCTAGTGGGGATTCCTTTGTCATCACTCTAGTGCCAAAAAACAAAATGCTGGCATCCCTTGACTTCTGTAACAGATATTACTGCAGAAACTGGGTTAATATTTCGTATGATAGTTTCTCTAAAGTAAATTGATTAAATGTAGGCAGGAGCCTGAATGCTCTAATTTAGTTTTTCCATTCCAAAAAGTATCATTTGTGGCATATGTACTTGAGTATATTTTCCCCAACATTCACTGGTTATCTAATTTTTTCTGGCTGTTGGTAAATCTGTTAGGCTTTGGAATGTCTGATTCAGAATCACATGCTTACATGTGAGGAAGGTAAGAGTTTTCATTGATCCCTTGAAAAATTCTTTGATTTCAATTTTCTCTTTGTACAAAAATAGGTTTAAGAAATAGATTGTCTAATTCAAAGTTGATCCCGACATATATCTCTGTCTTCCCTTTCTGTATGTTGGATACCAGAAGCAAATTTGATCTCATCATTGCAATTTGGTAGTGAGGATGGATGGCTCTCGTCATTTTATTCTTGTTTGATAAAGAAGGTAATAGCAGGTGCCAATTAGAATTTGCTTCTATCCAATATTTTGTACTGATGAAAGATGATTCCCTTTTTTGTTACGCAGTATGATAAAGAAAATGTTGTAGAAGCTAAGTTCAGAGATCTTGAGAATGAAAGCTGTAAAAGTGATCTATCTGATCCTTCTTTCTCGCGCTCACTAAAAACTAACACTGATCTATTGGCCTGCAAAGCTGAATATTATCATCAGTGTGGTGAATATCAGAAATGTTTTGAGTTAACATTTGTGTAAGTTGGAGATCTGATCTGGAGACTGAAGTGAGAGTGAGATACAGCTATGGCTGTTACATCATTCACTGCCTCCATTCTTTTCTCCTCTCTTTTTTCCTAACTGAGCTTAAGCACTTATGCTACAGTTTGCTTGAGAAGGATCCTTTCCATCTAAAGAGTACATTAGTACATCTGGCGGCTGCTATGGAGCTTGGGCATTCAAATGAGCTCTATCTGATGGCATGCAATTTGGTGAAGGATTATCCTCAAAAGTAAGCACTGTTCTCAAAATTTTGCTGCATATAAGAGTCGTTTCTTTATTTAGACTTTTTCTTAATATTTATATTTGTCTTCTAAAGCCTTTGCTATACCAATAAAGTCTTATTGATGTTGTTTTAGGGCTTTATCATGGTTTGCTGTTGGTTGCTATTACTATTGTATCAAGAAGTATGAACAATCCCGCCCTTATTTCAGGTATACATAAGTCATTACCATAGTGAGATAAGATTGATCTTGAAACATCTAATGCTCATGCTTTTTTTGTAATTTATCATCATAGACTATGTAGCACCGACACGCGACACGACACTGTACGACACTCCAACACGTCAATTCCAAAAAAATCTGAATTTCGACATGCTGGGACATGTTTTAATATTAAATAATATTTTTAATTTATATAGTTTATATTACATTTAATATTAATTAATTTAACAATAAAATGAAACTAAATTAATAAAAAAAAATTTACAGAATAATTTTTTTTTTAGAATAATAAACCTATGGCGACTAGCAAGCATAAAAGATTACAGAAAAAGAACGAAAAAAAATGTATTGACGCGAAAAATAATAATGTATGAATGATAGTGAAGGAACATCCAAAACAATGTTATCAGAACTAGCTCGGTCATCAACCCGATCAGGGTACTGGGTCAATGGTTCAACTGGTGGGTCACTGGTTGGACCGTTTGAACCAGATAAATAAATATGAATTTATATTTCATATTTAATTTTTTTAAAAAAATCACGACATTAGATATTTATGGGATCAAAATCAAATAGAGAAAAAAAAATACAGTACCCATGTAAGTCATAATAAAGAAAGTGAAAATAGTAGAAATAAAAAATTGTAAATTTAAAAAATAAAAAAATTGAAAAAGGAGATAAGAAATGAGTGGCTGAGCATAAAATTATAATTTTATTACAAAAATGCCCTTTGACCGTGTCTGACACGGTCAAATTCGCGTGTCGGATTGGTCAACGTGTCGGAAATATTGACCACACATCATGTAGCGTGTCAGAGTGTTCGACATCGACACTTAAAGATTTTTGAAGTGTTGGTTGGTGCTACATAATATAATTCTCGTTTTTGTGGCATGTTAATGTTTGATTTTCTTACTTACCTGAGATTTTGTTATGCTGAAAATTTGTTATATTTCACATTAGAAAGCTTTATATTGCTTAATGACATTAGGTTGTTTGTTATATTTAATATTTGATGTAGTTGTCAATTCGTTATAACCATCAAATGTTATGCTGAGGCAGTGGTGATAGCTGTATTTATTCTATGACGATATGTTATGTTTAATGACATGTTATCAATCCAGCTATTGGTCCTGAGCTTGGTTGATCAAAATTGATCTTTGTGGCTTGTTAAGTTTGAGTTGGTCATATATCTCTAACATGAGTTGGATTGCTTGAGAGATCAGTTTCTCTTTCAAGAACTCAAAATTGCTTGTCTAACCTATTTTGGAAATTATCTTCATGAATTTAGATTATCAAGGGGTCATTCTTTCTTTATGCATTTGATTGCTTTTGTAACATCATTATCAAAACTTATTGTTCAATTACGTTGTCTACTGTACAGCAAGGCAACTAGTCTAGATGGAACATTCCCCCCTGCATGGATAGGCTATGGGAATGCCTTTGCCGCTCAAGAAGAGGGTGACCAGGCTATGTCAGCTTACCGCACTGCAGCTCGTTTGTTTCCTGGGTAGCATACTGATTTTTCCTATTAGATCTTGCCCTTACCCTCATTGTTCCATTCTGATTTTTGTCTTCGGACTCAAAGCAAAATGAATTTATTGATTGTGAGCCCTAGGAATGAGTCGCTTGACAACTGTGTTTTGTTCCTTTCCTTGTCTTTTTTATGTTCTTTTCTTATAGCCCATAAATGATTTGGTGTGTTAGAGAATAATATAAACCATTAAAAAGGCCGTCACCCAACACCTTAAGGTTTTGGGTTGAAATGGTTCTTTACATGGTATCAGAGCTTTAATGACCACAAGGTCATGAGTTCGGTACTTTCTAGTGGAATTGAAATAAAAGGAGAAGAGGAGAGAGAAATTGAATATTCTTCTATTATTGAATTGTGTTTTGAGAGTTACAAGATAGATCTTTATAGAGCTTAATACAAAGCCCCGTCAGCTAATTCTGTTGAAACAGAAATTAGTATATTAAACTGAAAAGCAAAGGGTTATTTACAAAAGTAACCCTACTACAAATAGAATATTACAGAAAGTAGCCTTTACATTTATTCTACACTAATAGGCATCCTCAAACTCAGGGTGGATGAAGCAGAATATGCAAATCAACCACCGTTTGTCATGTAAAGTAGCAAAACGAGAAACAGGGAAACTGTTGGTAAGAGTATCAGCAAGTTGATCCAGAGCAGGGACATGGCAGACACAAATTTCTTTTGCTATAACACGCTCTCTGACAAAGAAAATGTCTAGCTCCATATGCTTAGTTCTTGCATGAAGAATAGGATTATGAGAGAAAGATATTGTACTTAAATTGTCACAAAAAATAAGGGGAGTAGTGAACTGAATATTAAGCTCCTGAAGAAGGGATTTAAGCCAAAGAACTTCAGCAGTAACCAAAGCCAAGTTGCGATATTCTGCCTCGGTGCTAGATCGAGCATTCAGAGTTTGTTTCTTGGACCACCAAAAAACCAAATTGGAGCCAAAAAAGACACAAGCACCTGAAGTGAATATGCGATCATCTGGATCACCAGCCCAATCTGCATCCCAAAATGCTTTGACAGAGAAGAGATGACTAGGATTGCATGTTTAAGAAGCATTCCATGATGTAGATTCCCTCTAAGATACCTTAAAATGCGCTTGACAGCAGTCCAATGTTAATCAAGTGGCTCAGCCATAAATTGACATGCTTTATTCACATCAAATCTGATTTCTGGGTGAGTAAGAGTTGCATATTTTAGGGCCCCAACAATTGAGCGATAGAAGGAGGGATCAGAATAATAATTAGACCATATTTCGAAAATTTGCAGCCTGATGGAAGAGGGGTAGAAATTCCTTTAGCTTCAGCCATGTTGGCTTTAACAAGCAGATCCCTGATGTATTTTTATTGAGATAAAATAAGAGCACCTGAAGTTGTTCTCTAAACTTGAATGCCAAGAAAGAAATACAGAGAACTAAGATCTTTGAAAGCAAAGGCAACATTCAGCTGCTACACAAGAGACTGAATAAAATCACGGTCACTACTATGTCATCTACATATACTAAGAGAAAGACACAGTGGTTGGATTTTCTGTATATAAATAGAGATATATCACATCTGTTGGCTGTAAAACCAAGTTGCAATAATGAGCTTTTAAGCTTGTCAAGGGCCTACTTTAAACCATAGAGAGCCTTGTGTAACCTGCAAACAAGAGACTTATTAGAAGACTCAAAACCAGGGGGTTGCATCATGTATACCTCTTCCTCGAGAATGCCATTGAGAAAGGTATTATTAACATCTAATTGTCTAAGTTGCCAACCAAAAGAAATAGCAATGGTGAGAATGGTTCTAATTGTGATAGGTTTCACAACAGGAGAGAATGTTTCAGTGTAATCAAAACCAGCCAGTTGATGGAAACCTTTGGCCACCAACCTTGGCTTATATCTATTAATGGAACCATCAGGATTCTCCTTGACCCGAAATACCCACTTGCAGCCAATGGCTTTTCTATTTGAAGGAAGTGGAACCAAGGTCCATGTGGAATTTTCCTGTAAAGCATTGAACTTAGACTGCATGGCAGAAAACCAATCTGGGCTATTTAAGACTTGTTTAATGGAAGTTGGTTCAAGAGAAGTCAGAAGCACCTGAGGCAATTGAGCAGTCTTGGCGTGTGTGGTGATAGAATGAGTAGGAGAAGAGTGGAAAGGACCAGATGGAACATATTCAGAACCAGAATCAGATGTAGAAGAGGATGAAGGTGCAGGGCTAAGTGAAATATTGCCAAGAGAGAAATAGGAGGAACTTGAATTTGAGTGTGACGAATTGGAAGTGAGTAGAGGAGAACCATGTTGCTGTGTAGGAAAAGTATGATTAGGAGTTGGAGGTGATTCAGATCTTGAAGATGATGAGGCTGATGCTGGGAGAGGAGAGTTGCACTGCTGTGTGGGTGAGTTACTGCTAGAATTGATGGAGTTGGCAGCTTGTGAATTGGGTGATGCTGAGCTAGATGAGTCACTAGGTGAGCATGGCTAAGCAGAGAATGCTATAATTGTCTAAAGGAATTAAATTGGAGATGGGTGAGATAGTAGTATTTTGAGTGGTGGTGGGACTCAAGTCAAACCATAAAGGATATGGAAATTTAGTTTCATTAAAGAGAGCATCCTTTGAAATAAAAAGTCTACCTGAGGAGTTAAGACACTTGTATCCTTTGTGATTAGGTGAATAACCCAAAAAGATGCATTCACTGCTCCTGGAGTCTAGTTTGTGACTGTTATAGGGTCTTAGGAATGGGAAGCAGGAACAACCAACAACCTTGAGGAAATTGCAGTTAGGTACTGTTTTATGCAGCTTAGTAAAAGGGACTTCAAACTTCAAAGCAGCAGTAGGTAGACAGTTAATGAGGTAAACAACAGAAATGAAGGCATGATCCCAAAATTTTATTGGTAAAGATTCATGTGCAAGTAAGGTAAGTCCAGTCTCAACAATGTGTCTATGTTTTCTCTCAACCACTCCATTTTGATGATGAGTGTGAGGGCAAACAATTCTATGAACTATACCAAGTTGTTTTAGGTGTTGATGAAAGAAACGAAACTCTCCTCCCCAGTTAGTTTGAAGGGCTTCTATAGAGGACTGAAAATAATTTGTAATCAGAGCTTGAAACTGAGTGAAAATTGTTAATGCTTGTGACTTTTGTTTTAAAGGATAGATTCATGTGTATCGAGTATGAGCATCTACAAAGGATATATAATATGTAAACCCCATGGTAGAGTTAACAGGGGCAGGAGCCCACAAGTCACTAAACACCAAGTCAAAAGGCTTTTCATAGATTTTAGTTGAAGGACTTAGTGTAGTTTATGGATTTTACCCAAGCAACAGGCAGAACAGAATTCAATATCAGTTTTATTAGGAATGCGAATATTAGAAGACTTAATATCAAAATTAAGGGCCTTAGTGTGAGGATGCCCCAGATGATAATGCCATAGAGAGTAATGGTATTTTGATCCTCAACTTTCTCAGGACTAGAAGTTACATTTATTCTACACTCTGTAGTTACACCAGAAAGAGTGTTACTAGAACTAGTACACACAGAAACAGAATTGCATGAAATAGAATTAGAAGGACATTGTTGACTTAAGTGGTGAGAAAGATTGACTCCACAAAAACGATATAGACCATTTGAACCCAAAGCACCTTTCAATAGAACTTCATGAGACGCCTCTGATTTCACACAAGTGAAAGGATGAAATTCAAAATAAACAGCATTATCCCTGGCAAATTGACTCACACTGATTAAGTTTTTAGTTATGGAGGGAACAAGGAGTAAATTGTGAAGATGTAAATAAGTGTGTGGTTTAAGTGGAGAAGGAAAAGAGGAAGAACCAGTGGCATTCACTTTCAGACCTTGGCCATTTCCTATGTAAACTTGATCTGCACCAGATAACTTTGTACTCTGTAGCAGGTTCTGAGGGTTGACAGTAACATGATGAGAAGCACCAGAATCTGGATACCACTCAAGAGCTTGAATGTTCGAAGGAGTTGGTAGAATACCTTGACCTTGAGTCTGTAGAGTAACGTTGCAGTGCTGTTGAGCAGGATTCTGAGGCTGATTAGCGGTAAGTAAGTCTTGTGGTGTCACTACATTTTGAGGTCTGACATACTGAAATGATCTTTGAAAGAAGGCTGAACTGATGAGAAATACTGAGGTGCTTCAGGTGGAGGAAGTTCAGGCACAAAATTCTCATCAAACTTGTGCCAACAATTTTGAACTGCATGTCCAAATTTGTACCAGAGTTGGGATTGTACATTACTACATCCATGTCCTCTTTCTGCTTTGTTGTTTTGACCATAAAATCTACCTCTACATCTACCAGTACCACCATTGGCACCATAAGGTCTCTGATTATTTGTGTTCTGATCAAGATTCTGTTGTATAACCTCAAAAACAGCTCTGCCAGATCTAGATCCATCTTTTTGCTCAGTAGATGTGTTATGCACAACATTCACAGTCACTGAATTTGACAAGAGAGTTTCATTTTGTCTTGCAAGCATCATTTCATAAGACATGAGTTCGACTCTCAAGTCATTGAGAGAATATAGATTTTCACGTGCTATAACAGAGGCGACAAAAGCGTTGAACTCTGCAGGAAGACCAGCAAGTGTGATCTCAATTTGCTCTTCAACTAATATAGGATTTTTAATGGCTGAGTTCATCGCACATAGATTTGACACATCTGTGATATTCAGCAACAGATCGTCCACCTTTCTTGATGGTGCGAAGTTCAAATCTGAGTTGATGTGCTTTGGATCTCATCATTCCTTGAAAAAATTTATGGATCTGCTCCCATGCTTCATATGCATGACTAACACTTAGGATTTCATTCAGTATTTCTTCTGAAATAGTAGAAAGAATCCACGAGAGAAGCATCTGATCTTGACGCAGCCACTCAATGTATAGTGGATTATCGACTTCATCGACACGATCTTGCTCAGATCTGTAATGAAGTGGATTAGGTTTCACAAGAAAGTGTTGGA